TGCTTGGAGCCCCACTCCTGGTGCTGGAGAGGCTGCTCAGGATGTTCTGTCCTGTAATGCAGTCGGTGCTGGTTTTGATTGGCACTGCCATGACCTGGACTCTACTGATGCTCTTGGTTGATGGTTTGCAGCCTTTCCAGCTGAGACTGCTAAAGGAGTACAAGTCACAAAGGGTCGGTCTTGTGGTGACAGCACAGCAGGCGTTGTTCACTGCCAGTCCTGGTAATCACTCCTGGTTTCTTGTCAAAAATTCTGTTCTCCTCTTCTTTTGTCCCGTGAAGGAATTGTGTGCAAGGTGACACGTGTGACTGGACGGTTTTCTGACTGTAAATTTGTGTTCCTGATGGGGAATTGGCAGGATGGCCTCTATCGGTGTTCTTTCTGTATCAGTAGCCATACCTCCACAAAGACCAATACCATTACCTACTTTCAACAACAGTAATAGAAAAGAACCCTTGAAACACAACTACTGTGAGCATTTGATACCTAACAGCGCCTTGCTCATTCACATTAGAATTATCTTGTCTCACATCTGTGTAATATTTCCTTATCAATTTGTGGAATTATTGCAGAACATGAATCATTGTCTTCAGAGAATGTGCAAGGCACTGTCTGTGTTGCTGTACTTTAGTGGATTTGTCAGGTTTGGTGCTGTCACTGATGGGGAAGGTCTGTGAAAGTCAAAGCGGAATTTGGGGTGGGAAAGGCAAGAGTGGCATTCGGTGGAGATGAGTACAGCAGAGACACTGGGTGCAGCCTGTCTGTTTCCTCCTATGACCTTGGGTGGAATTCCTTCTTCTTGAGAGAGAAGGAAGTCATTGAGAAGACCATGGGTCGTACCATAAGACGAGAATGGAGATGTCTGCTTGTCTTCTGTATGCATGTTTGGAATGGGGAATGGATGTTACCAGGAGGCTGTAGAAAATGGAGCTGGAGGTGTTGAGATAGTACCTGATCTTGAGATATTACGTGGTGTAGAGATGCCTAAAATGTCTTACAAGGTTATGAATTCATCTGTTATATTAGTCCTGAATCTCTTGCTCTCATTTGGGAATTGTTGAAACTGTATCAATGCTTCCCTGCAAAATGGAGGGAATATGATTGGTGAGTTCAGTGTTGATGTGAGCGTTTTACCTTTGAATGCAAGGTCATATTTGTGGTCGATAAGGGTGTTGATGGTCTCAATCTTTCAAGGTCTAATTATCTACAAGGGGGACAGTTGAACATCTTCCCTGTGCTGCTGTTCCATAGCATACCATCTAGAGTGTTGGGTTTTGTTATGTATATGTGCTTGGTTATCCTTTCTATAAGCATTTTGTCTTGTAGGTGTGTTTCTGAATTAATATAGATTCTAGACTTTCAGTCTTCTCTGAGTTTTAAAGTAGAAGCAGTAGCAAAGTTATATCACCATGTTGGCCTTCTATGAAGGGGTGCTTTTCTCCTTTCCTACTGTTCTTTGCTCACCACATCTCTGTTGTCTTCTAACCATGCTGGTGTCCATCAAGTTTATCTGCTCAGAAGGTGTTGTGCTGTTTTAACAGATCCTTCTCAGTAACAAATGAAAAATGTGTTGACCACTGGTGCTTGTTTTTTTTTTAATAACCTTTGAACAAGTAGCAATCTTACAACCTTTGCTTATGGTAGCAGTGGTAAGGGGAGGACTGTCAGACTAGGTGATCTTGTAGGTCCTTTCTAACCTTGTGATTGTATGATTCTAAGTACAGATTTCTTCAAAATATTTTCTTTGGTAGCACCAAGTTGTTTCTACAGAAGATGCAGTACGCATCGTGTTATATTTTCCCTTTCCATGTACGCTAATGGCGTGTTTTGAAGTAAAGAGTTGTAGAACAATATCACGAGGAAGATCAAGAATGAGAGAACTGCTTTTCCATATTAGGTTTGGCATTGTGCTTCAGGATGACATCAGAAGATATGGCCATGTCAGTTCCATGTATCTTAGCCAGGCTTTCTTGTCTCCTCTGCACACTGATTAAAATGGAATGATTCTTTTCTAGTGTGTTATGATGGGCTTTGGTTCCACCTGATCTAGCGGTTTCTCCCATCAGAAGTGTTTCCTTCCTCTGGTACCTGCCTGGTGCAAGAGACGTGTTGGTAATGGAATGTGGTATGCAGAGTGCTCATTATTTGATGATGATATTTTTTCCTCCCATATATGGAAATCTGACGTAGGAGAGTAGCACTCCAGTTTTGCCTCCTTGTGTCATAGGGGGAATCTTTGGGAGCTGCAATGGTTGTGGATATTTCCATGATGGTGCTCCTGCTCAGACAGTATTTCTGAAGAGACGAGGGGAGGTAGATGTAATCCTTAAGGGCTCAAAGAACAACATGTGCTGTCTGGGATCAGATCTTGATAACATCTCCCATTTGAGATTGTTGAGATGGTTCAAAGCTTTCAGAGTTTCTGAGGCAGGTAAGATCCTGGCAGCCAGTGTGTGCCTCGGCATAAGCTCGGCTGTTAATGGTGTCGATGAGCAAAGTGGAGGATCTGCAGTACCCTGGGTCATGTTGAGTTTGGGACTTAGAACTGGATCCATTTGGTGGGATGGATCAGAGTTCAGACTTGTGTTTTTGTTGGCAGTGCCAAGAAGGGCCTGGGTTTCCTTAGCAGGGAAGAAAGCGTCTTGTCTGAGGGACACAGAGATGTTCTGAAGAAGATGGAACATATCTCTGGAGAACAGCTGGGAAATGCTGACTGAGCTGGAGCTGATATTTGCAAGGCACAGGATAGAGTTTTCCAGTAGAAAACCTTTAGAGAAGGCCGTCCACACAGAGCTTCTTGGCCTGGATCCTGTGATAACCTGTGGAAATTCAGCTGTAAGACACTGCCATGAGAAATGATGTGTTACTGATGTGGCCACACTCTTACCTTCTGTATGGGTTTGAAGTGTCTGTCTGCTGTTTTCCCTGATCATCCACTTGACTTCAGAAGAGGATGATCTGGTAATCTGGGAGCACCGCAGTAGATACGATGGCACTTGGAAACATCCTCAGCTGAGCAACTGTTGACAGCAAGGCCATCTGCGAGGTGCGATGATGTTCTGCAGTTCCCTGAGCAGTTAGTTTTTGTGTGCCTTTACTCCCTGTTGTATGTGTGTGATTCCTGCTTGTGAAGACATCTGCCATAATGGCTTTTATTCGCATGTGTTTGAATATGGCATATTGTTGCTCAAACAAGGAGCTTTTCCCAATATTGGTAATTCTAGCTGATTTCATTAAACCTCCCCATGATCTTCCCTCTGCTGCTATTCTTTCCTGGGAGGGGAAAATGTACCCTCAGTATTCAAGACATTTGCTAAACATGTGCTTCAGTGACATGCAATGGGATCTTATTTTTTTTTTTCTCCCCTGTTATATGAATGTCCCACTCTGTTGTTTTTATTTTCTCATAATGGAAACAAGTTGGTGAGAATGAATGAGATCTAATGTGGTGAGTTCTGGCTGCTGTCAGATTGCACAACTTTGAGCAGCTGGCCATGCGTCTGAGGTCTGAATTTGCTACTTCAGTGAGCTGAGGTTGTCATTGATTGAGAGAAAGTCCTTAGTTTTCAGGTCTCCCTCTTTCTTCCCTTCAGAGAAGTGTGTGCCAGGGAGCACTGCACACTATGATCGTGTTTCTCTTGGGAACATGCATCCACTGATACCACAAGGCAAATCCATCATACTTTAAAAGCCCTTGTGATTGATTAGCAGAGATATGTTTTTCTATTGTTCAGCAGTTGTCTCTTTTCATAGAATGGAGTTCATTTGGCCTGGATATTGCCACTAGGTTTGCAGGATTCTGGTGATCATGTCTGTACCAATGCAGGTGAGATACAAAGACACATCTAAATTTTACAAGGGTAAAACTCAGAAAACACAAACCAAACCCAGTGGACAGCAAGGAATTAGATTTGAATATGGATTGAAGGCATCAGTACTGTTCTTCAGAAAGCAGGCTTGTCTTCAGCAGTGTTATTTCTGCGTGAACTAGCAATAGGTTGGAACAGGAAGGCTGGCAATGCCCCAACACTTAGACACTTCATCCTGCAGAAGAATCCAGGCATGCTGAGTGCACCTCCTCTCATGTCCTCCTCCAACAGCTCCTGCCACAGAGAAGTGATGACTAAGCAGCGTTTGGAGAACTCAATCTCACTTCATATCCCTTCCCTTTGAGCACCGGAGAGCAAGGTCGTTGCAGCCTTCCATTGCCAGCAGCATGGATTGTCAGCACGAAATCCCCCCCGCTGGAGGAATTGCAGAATGGTCCTTTTCCCCTGGGAGGGCTCACTGAGGAGTACACATGAGCCAGAAGTGGAAAAGGGAATCTGTTTCCCACTCTTCTCACTGTGCTTCATCCTTGTGAGACTTGCAATGGCCTTTAAAACCCTGCTTCCCAGTGTGTCTGCTACAAGGAATGTGTCCATGCAATACAAGAGAGGTAGGAAACAGGTATGTGAACAGAGCATGCTTTCCAAAACGCTCTATTCGAAAAGATTTCTTAACAGAAAAACATCGATTATGGCCGTTCTATAGAACAACTTTCTAAGGACAAAAGCTTTCAATACATTTCAAGGCACAGCAATTTCACTTGGAACGCAAGTGCGAACAATGATTGGAGCCTCCGGTCAATAAAACAGGTGAAAATTCATGTGAGTAAGGAGTCAGAACACAAAAACCCCAATGATGTTTGAAAGAAGTGAATTGCAAGGAATGAGGAAAGGAACACGGAAAAAAATAAGGTGAGGAGAAATTGGCTCGATACAGAGAAGCGCAGAGGTAATTCCCGCAACGAGCCACATGATGGCGCTGTGAGCTAAGGAACGCGCGATGCGATGCGATGCGATGCGATGCGAGGAAGGGAGGGGAAGACCTTCCGGTGCCCATGGCAAAGAAGGCAGAGCGAGAGCGAGCGGCGGGGAGGAGGAGGCGCGTCCCGTGAGGAAGGATTGTGTCGGCGAGCGCGGGCGGAGGGTTTGGAGCAGGCGGGTCGGGAGGTGCGCGGCGCGGAGAAGGAGCGGTGCGGCGGCGTGGAGGGCGATGGTCGGCGGTGGAGCGGCGCGGCGGAGCTGGGGGGCCGCGGTGCTGGTGCTGCAGGCGGCCTGGGCGCTGGGCGGCGGTCCGGTGCGCTACTCGGTGCCGGAGGAAGCCGAGGCCGGCACGGTGGTGGGGCGCCTGGCGCAGGACGTGGGCCTGGAGGCGGGCGAGGCGGAGGCGCGGCGCCTGCGGCTGGTGTCGCGGGGCTTGGGGGCGAGCGTGGAGGTGAGCGGGGCGAGCGGGGCGCTGGTGGTGAGCTCGCGGCTGGACCGGGAGGAGCTGTGCGGGAAGAGCGCGCCGTGCGCCCTGCGCCTGGAGGTGCTGCTGGAGCGGCCGCTGCGCGTCTTCCACGTGGAGGTGGAGGTCACCGACATCAACGACAATGCCCCGCGCTTCCCCGCCGCCTCCAAAAACATCAGCATCGCGGAACTGTCGCTGCCCGGGTCGCGTTTCCCGCTGGAGGGCGCGTCGGATGCGGATATCGGATCGAACGCGCAGCTCTCGTATACACTGAGCCCTTCCGAGCACTTCGCTCTGGATGTAAAATTGTCAGATGAAGACAGGAAATCCCTTTTTCTTGTGTTAACGCATCCTCTGGACCGCGAGTCGCAGTCGGAGCACCGCTTGGTGCTGACGGCGAGTGACGGGGGCAGGCCGGCGCTGACGGGCACGGTGCAGCTGCTGATCTCGGTGCTGGATGCGAACGACAACGCGCCGCAGTTCAACCAGTCGGTGTATAAAGTGCAGCTGCCGGAGGACGCGGCGGAAGGGACGCTGGTGGCGCGGGTGGCAGCCACGGACCCGGACGAGGGAATTAATCAGGAGTTTTCCTTCAGCATCGTCGGTTCTGTTCCTGCATCTCAGAGAGATGCATTCAGCATTGATCCGCGGACGGGGGAGATCCGTCTCCGAGTCCCCCTGGACTTCGAAGAATTTCGTTTACACGAGTTGCAAATCGAGGCGAGAGATCAAGGTTTTCCTCCGTTGTCGGGGCACTGCAGCGTGGAGCTGGAAGTCCTGGACGTGAACGACAACGCGCCCGAGGTGTGGGTGACGTCGCTGTCGGTGCCGGTGCCCGAGGACGCGTCGCTGGGGACGGTGGTGGCGCTGCTGAGCGTGTCGGACCGGGACTCGGGCCCGAACGGGCGGGTGCGGTGCGCGGTGGTGCCGGCGTCGCCGTTCGGGCTGGTGGCGACGTTCGCGGGCTCGTACTCGCTGGTGCTGCGGGAGGCGCTGGACCGGGAGCGGGTGTCGGAGTACGAGGTGGAGGTGCGGGCGGAGGACGGCGGGGCGCCGCCGCTGCGCGCCAGGCGCGGGCTGCGGGTGCCGGTGTCGGACGTGAACGACAACGCGCCGGCGTTCGCGCAGGCCGTGTACACGGTGCTGGCGCGGGAGAACAACGCGGCGGGCGCGGAGCTGGCGCGGCTGTGGGCGCGGGACCCGGACGAGGCGGGCAACGGGCGCGTGAGCTACTCGGTGTGGGAGGGCGGCGCGGGGATGGGCGCGGGCTCGGGCTCGGGCTCGGGCTCGGGCTCGGGCTCGGGCTCGGGGTGGCGTCCGGCGTCGAGCTACGTGTCGGTGGAGGCGGAGAGCGGGCGGCTGCGGGCGCTGCGTCCGCTGGACTACGAGGAGCTGCAGGTGCTGCAGTTCGAGGTGCGGGCGGTGGACGCGGGGGAGCCGCCGCTGTGCGGCAACGCCACGGTGCAGCTCTTCGTGGTGGACGAGAACGACAACGCGCCGGCGCTGCTGCCGCTGGCGGGCGGCGGGCCGGGGCCCTGGGCTGCGGGCGAGGCGGCGGAGCCGGCGTGGCGGGCGGCGGGCTCGGCGGGCTCGGCGGGTTCTCCGGGCTCGGCGTCGTCGTCGTGGTCGCTGTGGGCGCGGGCGGCGCTGGGTGCTCCGGCGGGGCAGGTGGTGGCGAAGATCCGCGCGGTGGACGCGGACTCGGGCTACAACGCGTGGCTGCGCTACGAGCTGCGGGAGCCGCGGGGCGAGGGCCCGTTCCGCGTGGGGCTGTACAGCGGCGAGGTGAGCACGGCGCGGGCGCTGGAGGAGGCGGACGGCCCGCGGCAGAGGCTGCTGATCGTGGTGCGGGACCACGGGGAGCCGCCGCGCTCGGCCACGGCCACGCTGAGCGTGTCGCTGGTGGAGGGCGCCGAGGCGGCGCTGGCGGCGGCGGGGGCGGGGGCGGTGTCGGCGGGGGCGGGGCCGCGGGCGGCGGCGGGCGCGGAGGGCGGCTCTGCGGCGGCGGCGACGAACGTGTGGCTGGTGGCGGCCATCTGCGCGGTGTCGAGCGTGTTGGTGCTGGCGGCGGTGCTGTACGGGGCCGGGCGCTGGGCGCCGCGGGCGGCCGTGCCGGCGGGGCCCGGGCCGGCGACGCTGGTGTGCGCCAGCGAGGTGGGCAGCTGGTCGTACTCGCAGCGCCAGAGCCGGAGCCTGTGCGTGGCCGCGGCCGGGGACGGCGCGGGCAAGAGCGACCTGATGGTGTTCAGCCCCAACTGCCCGCCGCCGCCCGGCCCCGCGCCGAAGGAGACGCCGCACGACCCGCCCTCTCTGCTCGACACGGTCAGTGCCTCTCGCTCTTTCCGTTAGTGTTCTTCTTCTCTCTTGCTCTCCTCCATGTACTTCCTTCTCCCTGCCGTAGCTTCGTGTTCTGTCAACCATTTTCTGTTGGGCTTTGTTTAAGAGCAGAATTTGCTTTGGTCTCATGTGCTTGTTGTTGAGAAATGCATTTGAGAGTGCTTTGTGTTGAATTATAATCCCATGTGTGATGCTGGAGTATTGTTGTGGATGTGATGCTGAGACCTTTTTCTGAGAGCTTCTGAAGACTTATTTGGACTCTCATACTGTGGTTTGTTGCCCGCCATTCTCAGTTCTTTCCTCCTTCCTTCCTTCCTTCCTTCCTTCCTTCCTTCCTTCCTTCCTTCCTTCCTTCCTTCCTTCCTTCCTTCCTTCCTTCCTTCCTTCCTTCCTTCCTTCCTTCCTTCCTTCCTTCCTTCCTTCCTTCCTTCCTTCCTTCCTTCATGAAATAGAATAAATTCAAAAGCTGCTCTTCAAATGTTGTTGGCAAGCTCTCAAACTGAGCAATGCAGGAAATGTCATTGATGAGATTGGTGATTGGTTCACCAAGGTCTTTTGCCTGCTTTTATTCTTGCTGAATGTAGGATGTGTCGATATCACATCTGCTTTCTTCTGTCAGTCTCTTCTGCAAGACATGTGGTGCTAACTGATACTGTTATTTCTGCGTTCTCTCTGCTCATGGTATCTGTGTCTTGATTTGAGTCACCTGACAGCCTTGTCACAAAAGTAGGAAAGTCAATATTGACTTTTCCTACATTTAAAAAATGTATTATTTTTTCTCCTCTTCCCAAAAGACCGTCCTTATGCGTGCCTGTCAACCTCAGTTTTTCAGTGGTTCTCAGTGTAGGCTGTGGCGATATCAGGTCTGTTTTTTTCTTAGGGTCTCATCTGCTGGAAGCACGATGCATAACGAGTGTTTCACAGGTGTTTCAGGATTCCCTCTGCCCGTGGTGCACGTTTCTTAACAACTCACCTGACCGAATTTATGATAGAAGCAGGAAAGTCAGTTTGTCCTTTTCCTATATCCTCTCTATTCATGTTGTTGGTCATCTGCTCTTAAGATTGTTCTTGCTCGTTCTGCCTACCGCTCTGTTGTTCCCTGTGATGGAGTAGCACTGCCCTGGGACTGAGCATGGTTGGCATTTGCCTGTTGGTCACCTCTGGATGCTGACCAGGATGTCCTGGTGCAGTAGGTGATCTGATGCAAAACCTTGAATTTTCATTGTTAAAGTAAAAGGATTCCTCGGGGTATTTTGGTAACTTCTGTAAATTCTTCTCTAGAATCAGCATTTGAAACCTTACCAATGAAAGGATTTTGGTTTACTTTCTGTGATTATTTTGTGTAGTTATTTATTTATGGGGATGTTTTGTGTGTTGTAAACTGTCAAATCTGAATGCCACCTATGGTTCCTGGGCATGATTCTAGATACTAGAGCAGCTGGAGCCAAGGACTGAGGTGTTTGGAGCTCCCACTCTTGCTGTGGGGCATGGGGCATTCGTTGCTAAGGATGTTGTGTCCCACAGTGAAGTCAGTGTGTGTTTTGATTGGCGGCGTCGTGACACTGATTCTACAAATTCTGATGGTTGCTAATGTGCAGCATTTGCTGCTGTGACACAAAGGGTAAGTCTTGTTGTGAGAGCCCAGCAGGCTGAATTCACTATCTGGTTCAGACTGTGCTGTTATCAGTGCTTCTGTCTTGTCAAACCGTCTGTCCTCTTGTTTGACTGTCCTGTGAAGCAGATGTGATGTAAAGTGACACTTATGCCTTGAGGATTTTCTGTTTGTAGACTTGTGGTCATGTGCAGGGAGTTGGCATAATGAGGCAGGGGGTTTGGACCATGATGATTGTTGAGGTTCCTTGCAACTCATGCCATTCTATGATTCTGTGATTAACAGTATGAATGCCTTTGCTTATCAGTGTGTATTTCAGTAAGAATTTGTGGAAGCATTACAAATCACGAAGTATGATCTGCATAGATTTCCCAGGTTCTGTGTATAACACTGCTTGTCTGATTTTGTTACTTTTGATGCTGTCATTGATGGAAGGGGTCTGCGAAAGTCAAAGTCGACTCTGTGCCAACTCTCTTATTGTCTTCTGCCTTCTTGACAGTGGGGAGCAGAGGTTACCAGGAGACTGTGAGTAACGGGAGCCCTCCTGATCTTGAGCTAGCACATGGCACTGAAATGCTCACACTGTCTTCTGAGGTGATGAATATTTCTCTGTCTGGTCATGAACTCCTCCCACTGCTTTGAGAGTTCTTGAAGCCCACATAAGCATTTCATTCATTCCCAGGCAATGAACGTGGCAGATCACTGTTGAGTTCCATGGTAGCGTGAGTGTTTCGCTTTCTGTGCCAGGCTAAAGTTGAGTTAGATGAGGCTCCTGTGTTCATCTTCCTTTCAATGTCTTAATATCTAAAGGAGAATAATACAATACCCTCCCTGTCCTACAGTTCCATGGTGTAACAGCTTCCACGTGAAGTTTTGGTTTTGTATGTCAGCCTGGTTGTCCTGTCGATCACTCTGCATTGTAGTCCTGGTTTTGAAGTGATGTGTGGTTTGGCCATTCCGTGCTCTCTTTCTGAGGATGGACACTTGCTGCTCAAGGAGGTGCTGCTGTAAAATTGGATCATCCTTCTGTCCTTCTCTGAAGCTGATGGTTTTTCTATTTGCAACCAGTCACACGGTGTGACATACTGATGGAGCCATGTTTATTCACCACGTCTCTGCTGTGTGCAGATCATGCTGATGTCTCCCATGTGTTTTCCCTCAGAAAGCATGTCACCCTTTTCTCTGACCCTTCTCAGACAGAGATATCATATCTGGTGACCTCTGGTAGTCAGTGGTTGTTTCTACACTGTGTAAACAAATAAAAAATGATTCACTTTCTTTTGGACCACAGAGACGTTTCCATAGAAGATGCTTTGAGCCTGCTACTGTGTTAAATCGAGTTGTAGAACAGTACCATAATGTAGATGTGAGAAAGAGAGAATTATTTTTCTCTACCAGGCAATGCATTTTCTTAGCTGATGACTTCAGAGAATCTGTCAATGCCAGTTCTGTGTATCCTCTGATAGCTGGACTTCCTTGTGTCTTGTGAGTGCTGGTCAAAATAGCGTGATTCTTTCCTTGTGCTTTATAAGCATGTATGTACCTGTGAGGTGAGCAGTTTCCCCCTTCTACTGGCACCTGCCTCATGCAGGACTGGTGTTGGGATGTGAGATGCAGAGAGCTGACTGATTTCTGATGGATGTTTTCCCTTCCATTTTGGGAAAGTCAGTATTGGAGAGTACGAATCCAATCTCTCCATGTTGTGTAATGGTGGGAATCTGCAACAACTGTAACAGCTATTGATGTTACCATGGCGATGTTCCTCCTCAGACTGGATTTCAAAAGAGATTGTAGGTTTGGTCTCTTCTTACTGGTGACAGATGACAGGACGAGGGGAAATGGCCTCAAGTTGCTCCAGGATAAATTTCGGTGGGATATCAGGAAGCACTTTACAGAAAGGGTTGTTAAGCACTGGAATAGGCTCCCCAGGGAGGCGGTTGAATCACCATCCCTGAATGTGTTTACAGATCGTTTGGATGTGATGCTCAGGGACATGTTTTAGGGAGGGCTGTTAGTTAGGGCACTATGGTTAGGTCACGGTTGGACTTGATGATCTTTAAGGTCTTTTCCAACCTGAGTGATTCTATGATTCTATGAAGTGAAGTGGGTGTAATCTTTCTGTATTCAAAAACGAACTGTGTCCTCTCTGGGACCAGAGCTCTGCGAGTTCTAATGAGAGAATCTGTGGGGGTCCTGTTGTAAATTGCAGTATCATTTCCATCTAAGGTTGTTGAGGTGGTGCTAAGCATTCTGATCTTCTGCAGCTGGGAAGAGCCTGGCAGCCACTGTGTGGCTCTGCAGCTGCTGCAGTATTCCTGGTGTCAGTGGAGAGGAAAGATGAGGATCTGCACAGCCCAGGGTCACGGTGAGAGTGGAGCTTAGAATGGAGTCTGCTTATGTGGGTGGGTCAGTGCTGAGGTGTTGTGGCAGTGATCCTGCACAGATCACTGTAGGGTGTTCAGTCTTAGTTGTCCTTACCAGGGAGGAGTCTTGTCTGAAAGAAATGGGGGTGCTGGATAGCAAAGGGAGAGTCACTGAACAAGATTTGGAAAATGCTGTCTGAGCTGCAGACCCTATTTGTAAAGGGATGGGATAGAGGTTGCCAGTAGAAAAGCTGAAGAAATCTAACACATAGTGCTGCTTGGTCTGGATCCTCTCAGAAGCTCCAGAGTGTCAGATGTCAGATCTTAACATGAGAGAGTGTACGTGATTCAAGTTGCCACACTACTGCCTCACTGCATGTGTTGGAAGTGTCTTTTGGCTCTCTTCCCTGGGCATCCCCTTGCCCTAGGAAGAGGAGCACTGAGCAAGCTTTGAGCACCACAGCAGATACTGTCTTCAGTGGGAGATGGGGAGCCAATCAATACAGTGACTGTAGGCAGCAGGTCCATCCGTGCGGTGTGATGGGCTTCTCCAGGCCCTCTACAGTCAAATTCTGCATGTCCTCACTCCTTGTTGCTGTTGTGTCATTCCTGCTCATAAAGACATCTGCCATATTTGCCTTTATTCACTTATGTTAGAATATGGAATGTTGTTGTTCAAACAAGGAGCTTTTCCCAGCATTGATATTACTGGCTGAATTTTGTGAACCTTCCTACTGCCTTCGCTGTGGTTGTCATGTTGGTTGCTCTGTCTCATCCACATGTTGGTAAGTCTTGTGTTTCAATGATTTGCAGTAGGATTGTTTTGTTTTCTTCTCTCTTGCTAAAAAAATGTTCTGCTGTGTTCTCTTCTTTTTCATTGGAAATATGTTGGAGACAGTGGATGAGATGCAGCGTACTGAGTTCTGACTGCTGTCACACAGGAGACCTTTGAGCAGTTTGTCCTGAGTCCTGGCTTTTCCACTCTAGTGAGCTGAGGTTGTCACTGAGAGGCAGGCGTCAGCCTTATGTTGAGCATGCAGCTAATTTCTCGGAAGGCCATTTGGTGGGTGAAATCTTTGTGTACTTAACTTCTTCCTAACTTGTGTACTTGCCCAGTTGGCTTTGTTCAGTAATGGTTTGCACTCTTATAGCTTGACTCATTCTGAAATTTGAACATACCTACAAAACTCCAAACAGCAGCCTAGCTCTCTTTCTCTGTGGAATAAATTATTTATAGCCACTCCATGTGTTTGTTTTTATTTTTATTTTATTTTATTTTACTCTCCAGCATTAGAGGAACAAAATAAAACCACTCAATGCAAGAAACTGCACTAACCTGGATCCTTACTGCATCATCTTCCCCATCTTCTCCATGTGAACTTTGCATCTTTTCAGTACAGATATAGGATGTGTAAAAAAGAAGTTGTTTGTGTATCTGTCTGGACTGTGCAATGCTATGATGCTTGAGCGTTTGGTTTACTTTGGTTTACAAGATGAGAATTCCATGTGGGCTGGACTTGAGTAAGCTGGAAAGAATTCTTCTGAAGTGTAGGTTATCATGGATCATTCATTTATTTCACTGCTTATGGAAACTCCCTTATCCCTAGCAATGCTCTGATTTCTGGTATTGTGGAAGCATTTATTTGCACTTCTCCTTGCTCAGTGTCTACAGAAATGATGTGCACTCAACTACACAAATACAGGGAAAAGAACACTGTGTCCTATATCCTTGGCAACAATGCTTGTTTTCTCTTTAACAGCCATTCTGCTAACTGAAACATCCTGATATGCTTTTTTTTTTTTGAAGCAAACTTAATTTAGCTGTTAGCACAGCTCTAAGATACCTGAAAATAAAGCTGTGCTCTTTTAGCTGTCTACAGCACTATATTTTCATCCCTTTGAATATGGCATGAAGGCTGAGTAGAACCTGTAGGTATTCCAGGTAAGTGGATGAACTTGGGAAACAGTTACATAGAAGAAAAATATATGTACCATCTTTAAACACTTTCCTTCCTGGACTTGCCTGGAATGAGCTTGGTGGCTTTGTTGATGGAAGGTCTGCCTAAGGATCTCTTTCTATGCACTGGTAAAGACATCGATCTCTGTCCACATCCTTACTTCCTTCTTCAACGGGAACCTGCAAAAAATCACACCTTCTGGAATCTTCCTCATGGCGTTGCTGTCTTTAGTAACAGTGGACGCTTCTGCCTGCACATGGAAAAGACAAGAAAATGCCAACACACTGGGCAGGATACATTTTTGTCTGTCTGCCTGTTTGGAGTAATCACAGCACGAGGTCACTGAAAATCCATAGATGCAAAGAATGGAAATGCAGAACCAAATGTGTTCTGTTACATTCTGAGTGTAATAGGAATATGTTAATGAAAGTTGTGGTGCCCGGCTGGTGCAGTATCTGCCAGAGGTCACTGTTTCTATTTTGCTTGAGTTGCAAAGAAGCATCACAGGATTGAAGGACCACACTTCATCTTCAGGTTCTGAACTTCCACTGTGCTCTGCATGGAAGGAGGTGGAATGGCGAATGTGATGTGATGTGTCTGAGTGCTTCCTCAGGGAGATGATCATGCCATTTGTTGGGATAGGGGAATACAGGTAAGACACTAAGGTGCAGGAGGAAAAAGAATTCATCTGTCTGGGTTTTTTTAATATGTAGTGCACTGAACATCTGCAAGGCCTTTGCCGTGGTCCCACTTACTATTCCTCTCTCCAAACTGGGAAGGTATGGATCTGATGGGTGCATTGCTTGATGGATGAGGAACTGGTTGCAAGATGGTAACCAGAGAGTAGAATTCAATGGCTCGATGTCTGGGTAGAGATCAGTGATGAGTGGTATTCCTCAGGAGTTGGTACTGGGCTCAGTGCTCTTCAACATCTTCATTGATGACATCAGCAGCGGGATTGAATGCACCTTCAACAACTTTGTGGCAGATGTCAGACTGCGTGGTGTGGTAAACACACCTGAGAGACAGGATACCGCATGGAGAGACCTAGACTGGCTGAGCAGTGGGCCCAGAAGAACCTCATGAGAGTTCAACAAAGCCAAGTGCAAGGTCTAGGACTTGGGTTGTGGCAAATGCCACTATCAATAAAAGCTGGCAGTTGACAGGATAGATCAGAGCCTTCCCAAGACGGACATGGAAGTACTGGTGAAT